AACTAGATTGAAAATGGTGACTGGACTTGGAGCTGAGCTGCACCCTTCAAAACTAGATTGAAACAACTACTTGACTTGGAGCTGATGGGTCCTGGAAAACACACTGTTTCCCAATAAAATTTCTAAAAATAATAATAATAATAATTTTAAAAACAGAATTTTTCTTCAAAAGTAGAACATGTGTTTTGAAAAGAATTCTGGACCTACTCCTAAATAAAACAAGTTTCTGTGTGATTATATTAAAAAGTGACTAGAAATATGGCAACTATGAAAATAAATAGGTCATATTTGCTTTGACCACTTGTCTAAAGCCACCTGAACCCTTGTTCTCAAGTCAAGAAAGCATCTTCCAGACTTCATATGACCCCAGGGACCACCTATATTGTGTGACCACAAGTCTAGATGAGAAGGGATGAAATAGAACTTCCCATTTTGGTAAAATTTCTGTTGCAGCTCAAGTCTCAGAATATGGGCCATGTAATTGCTGTGTGACCTTGACAAGTGATTAAATCTAAGCTTTCTTCAATTTAGGAGGAATTATTAGTGGTACCCACCTCATTGATCTATTGTAAAAAACAAAAAATGATGCATGCCACGCTATATGGTGAGCACATCATGCTGGTAGCTCATTCTGCCTTATATCAATTTTCTCTACTACCTTGACATATCATACATTCTTCCTATTTTCTGGCTTGTACACCTATTAAAGCTCCCACTAATCCTTTACCAGTTTGTGGAATGTTTGTAGTTTTCCATTTATTTGCAGTCCATTGCTGACTGATGTAGTCAAGATCCAAGAAATGGTCAAGCTCATTTCAGCTCAGATGATTTCTTCTGACTAGTGGAATGAACAGAGATCAGGGGAAATATGAGGATCAGAAAGAATCTAGATGACAATAGAGCTCTCTGTCCTTCATAACTTAGATCCATTCTCAAGTATGTGCTCCTTCAGGATAGCTATCCTAGAGTTGTCTTTACAAGGAGTAGGGTCAAGTCATCTTTAGAAGAAATGTTATTTCCCCACAGGAAACGGAGATGCTGGACTTTCTTCAAAAGAAGAAACTTCTCCACAAGATTAGCATCAAAAGAAAACTTGATGGTGTCAGGGTTGCTTTGTCTTTGACCTTAGGTAATTGAGGAGTAAACAATGGCTACATTGTAATTAAAGCCCAAGTGTACCTCTCTCAGCCTCAAGAATGTTCATGAGACATGCTTTTAAAGATTTAAAAGTGAACTCTCTCTCCCTCTACCCCCATTTGTGTTATATTTTCAAATTTTAACAAATCCTTTTAATGTTAACCATGTGCCAGGCACTGTTCTAAGAGCTGCGCACACACACACACACACACACACACACACACACACACACAAATAACCTTTAATAATAATTAATAATAAAGCTATGATTATTTATTAATAAGTAATCACCTAATCCTCATTACAAATATGAGATAAATCCTATCATTCACATTTTTCAAATGAGGAAGATGAGGCACAGAAAGGTGAACCTAATTTGCCCAAGGTCACATAACCTTGGAGCTGCAATTCAAAGCCAGGCAGTTTGACTCCAGAATCTGTGTTTTTAAGTACCACAAAATTCTGCCTTTCAAATTTGTAAAGTAGAAAACAATTAAATAAAGTAAAAACTCCTGGCACT